TCGTCACCCGTCATTCCGATCACACTACCATCATCCGAGCACGTCGCCCTTGCGATATTCCAAGAGATCAACGAAGGAGGATCGATCCGCGAGGCAGTGGCAGCCTCGTTTCAAACTTTGAAACAAACTCAAACGCAAACGGGGCTGGCCATTCGACTACGACTTCCCAGAAGAGACATCACCGGTCGATCGGCAGAGTCCTCTTCGGAGGCGGTGGGATACGTTCTCTGACCTTCAGAGAGCGCCGTCACGGCGACGGAACGTGTGGACAGAGGTGTCCGTGCAACGCGTTCACGGTTTCCGTTCTTCGGACGAGACGCGATCCCGCGAGAGCGTCGCGAAACTCGACGGTCATTCCGACAGCGTGGTCGCCGTTCGATGACCGGGAGAAACGGGAAACGGAGCGTCCACGGATGATCGGTATACTTGTTACAATAGAATCTAGATAGTTTTTCCAGTAGACCAGTTGATTGCATGTCCGAGAGTCCTCCGGGGATGCTCCGTCTCCAGCGAGGCATGAATCTTGAACTTCGTCGAACGCTCTTTGACCCAAGCATCGAGTTTCGTGACCGGCAACCGAGAAACGGTCGACGCGAAACGCGAGAACACGTGGAGATCGTGAACACGGCGCGAGACCAGCAGCTTTCGTTCTAAATCGAACAGATCCGACTGTAGCGGATAGGCGCGTTGAACCGGAAAGTAGATCGATCAACGAACATTCATTGCGTCACACCTACCGTGTATTCCTGCAACGTTGTACCCCTTCCCGTTGTCGATCGGTTCGAGCTCCATAGTCCGAACGATTCGATCGAGGAGACAGAGAAGCCGAAAACCCTGAACGGCTGTAGTCATTCCGCGAATAGGAGCGGTTCGCTCTAGAAAACCCTTTTTCCTTATTTTTTTCTTCTTGGATTTCTCGTCACGGGTCCAAAGATCGTCGTTGTATAAGGAGCGGTAGAATTCTAGGTCGAGGGGAGCCGAGAAAAATTACTAGAGTCGTTGCACTCATGCTGGTCCAAGGGATCGATGAGGGAATTAATGAGGATCCTGTGTAAATTGTCCTTGTAATGGCGTGCGCGAATGGGCCAGTTGTTTCGAAGTTTAAAAGAGAAAGAGGAGGGAGAAAGAGAGAGAGTGCCGAGAGAGGATTAGCGGAAAGGAGACTCGAGTAGTGGTGCTGGTTAGCTTTCAAGATGACAATAAACGAACGTTTCGTGGATCTGGCGCGTCGCTCGGTGGTCTTGCGATGCGCGGGCGAGACGCACGAAGAAAACGAGGCCGACGCGTTGCGCGTCGTGAAGCATACGTCGATCCACTTTTCAATTGAATCTTCGTCGTCGTGATTGTTATCTGGTTTTATATAGAGTTGTTCCGTCGAGTCGCTCGTAGAAACCGTGTGACGTTGCTCACGGCCACGCGAGAATGGATCTTCATCGAATTAAATAGTTAACGTCGAGTGTACGTGTGTATATAATATTATACGTGACGAGAGGACACGCCGGTGAACGCTGCTAACCCTTCGTGCTCGAAAGGTGACTCTCGAATCACCGATTGATTTCATATAGTGAAATTATAAGGTCATATATAATATCAAGCTTTGTATAATGCATCGATGCGTGAGATGTCGGTATGAAATAGCTTTGCATCTTGATTTATCCATGTTTTTCCATTGGTTGGATTCAAAGAACGTCGTCTGTAGCTTGTCGGAGAACGTTGAATATTTCTAGCGGAAAATTTTCGAGTGCAAAGGGTTAAAGCGTGTGTACACAGATTGTAGTCTAATTAATAGGAACGATATTCGATCGCCATTCGTATTTACTCGAGCTACGATTATTACGGAGTGTATAGTGACCGTTAACCCAGCCTCGGGTACCACTTCCATATAGTTTCTCAAGCCTCGATCACTTACGTTGACAGAGCCGTGTAGTTGTTTATAATGTTGTTACGAACCCCTCGTTCGTCGTTGGAACGATATTTATAGAGACTGTTGGCAGATGTATTACCTATAGGCGAGGACACCGTTCATGGTGAGTCGATGTGGACACGGTTAAGAACTGACGTTGTCTCGATACATGTGCAGTTTAACGGCTTTTCCTATTTGATTTTTAACGCTTAATCCGCGGGTAACGGAACGGTTTCCAAGCGCCCGTGCTTTAAAGTGAATCGTGATTTTTCGTCCATACCCTCGTGTATACGGATTCTCCAAAGGTGAGCAAAAGTAGAAAGGAATCATTTAAATCAACCAATGTAAGCTGAAGACGTTACAAGTATCTTCATGCGCGATCGCCCGCAGATTAAGTGTTTAATAATTAACCCAGTTGATTTCTCACCTTTGTAATTCAATCGATAAAATTCATTCAGTAGAGAAAGAACTATAACGAAACAGTGTAACGCTGGAAAAACGCGCGAAAACTGCACATTTACCGTTGCCTCTATCTGGCCCGCGTGGCCGATGTCTTCTGCTTTCCTTTCATTCGTCGAATATGCATATATATATATTATATATATACACATCTCTATATATACAAATATACGAGGCGAAAACGAGAATTGACTAAAACATACAAGTTTTCTTCGTGCATCGTCGAGAACGCATCCAAGACAGCGACCAAACACGATCGTCCCGGATGCGAGGAGGACACGTAATTCCGGCAGGAAGTTCGTTCTCCGATTTGGATAGACGCGCGGACGCGTCCGAGGGGACACGGTGCCGGTGCTGATCGCCTTCCGGGATGATATCGGGACACGGATGTCTCTCCGTAGAGCTAGGACGTATTCTCGAGGGACAACGATGACGATCGCGACGGCGACTTCCGCGCGGAAGCAGTCGGGACAGGTCCCAGAGATAGGGGATCGTTGTCACGTCGGTCGTAGGATCAATTTGTCGAGGGTAGATGGTCGGCGTGCAGCGAGAACGGTCGACGCATCGGGACACTGGGGATCGGAATGCTGAAACGCGAGGCACTAACAGCGAGATCAGAGCGGGACAGGTCCTTTTTGTAAATAAGCACGTCGACGTTTCTTCGATAGCCCCGCCGCTAGTCGTGCCCCGCCCATACCCGTGTCCGCTTCCGGTTCTGTACCCACTCCCACGTGCAGAGTCCTCTGTACGGTGGAACACAAATTTGTAACATCGACGAATTTGCTTTCGGATTCATCGATGTCGCACGTTTGTCTTTTATCGTGTTAAGGATCCTAGGACTAAACCGAGCATTGGAGACCCTGGAGCGAAGAAGTTAGGGTTAGTTCGAACCCAGACTCGTTTCACGGTGCTCGAAATTCGTATTCGGTTACGTTTCTCTCCATTGCGCCGTGAATTCTCGTAGTATCGTTGACACGGGAAGTACGGTCGCGCCGAAAGAAAGAGACGCGACAGTAGCCTGTAGGCCCTTCCGGTCTCCCGCCATCTCTCCTCCGGAGCGTAGCGGCTGGAACAGTCTCCGACGCTCGGTTTACCCGAACAGCTAGTCTAGAGAGATACCTGTACTACGTGTATACATAGATTATATCTCGCTAATCGAATTTCTGGAGCGTCGAAGCGCAGGCTAAACATGCGAACCGTCTAGGCGCCAGTGCACGGACACACCGTGCGATTGGCCCGGGATTCCGTGCGAGAAAAGGGAAACACTGCAAGACGGAGAACCACGGACATCGTTTCATTGCGGAACAAGCTTCGAGTATCCCGGGCTACCGTCGCGAATTGAACAAATCCGTGAGCGACGGGGACGAAGCGCGTACTCGGACGAACAAGAGGTTCGAAGAAAGTTGAAAGGGCGCGATCGTAGCTGACGGAAACGTCGATCGTGTCGCGTTTCCCTTCCGTCGAAGAGAAGGATGAGAGAAGAGACGCGCTTCGCCCTGATCCTCGCTCGCTGTATACATATTATATATATAAATAAATCTATACATATATCGTCGTGTCTGCCGTACGGAGAATTAAGTGACATGTTGAAAGTGTAAAATTTTATCGTTAATACTTTGAGGAAATACTGAAAACGCAAGAAGATGCTCTCTATAAATTCGTGGATAATCGCGCTCTTTCTCGTTGCTGGTACACGACAAAACTTTTTGTCCGTTCGATCTCCGCGCGACGCGAATACTTTGACCCGCGATCCCCCAGTTACCGCGAGATACTTGTACCAATTTATGTACGAGCGATTCTGCTACTAGTTCGAGCTCGATTTTACGCCGGAATCGAAGGGCATCGCATCCGCGCGCGAGACAGGCGATCGTCGTTCGCGCGTCGACTACCACAGGAATCTTTAGCGTTTCGTATAATATTATACTTCTGTAGCAAAGATAAATGGTACTGAGAATGATTATTAACGATTTGGTATTCTATGTCACACTATTATCTAAGTATTAAACGTTTTTATTGGGTATTAATCTTCTTATTGCGATTGTTTCCAAGCAA